GTTGTTTACTGTTTAGTGGAAAAGTTCTCATAGTGTACTGAGTCATGTGATTAATCCTCGCTGAATGTGCTAATATAATTGATCGGTGAACATGTTTTCTCTGCTTTCAGGGTATGGATGGCCCAGAGGCCTATATTGCAACTCAGGGTCCACTGCCGAACACTGTCATCGACTTCTGGAGGATGATCTGGGAATACAACGTTGCTGTGAGTTTTCCTTACTAGAAGACTGGAAGTCAATGGATGGAGATATTTTTTTTGTTTTTCTCATTGTGAACAATTGAATCGTGTATCTAAGTGCTGTTTTTGAGCTAAAACGCTGAAGGTAAAGAGAGCAGGAAAAGTCTGATGTGTAAATCCTTACAGTTTGGATGTACTTGATGGGGGTTTTTTTCTTCCCGTCTTCATTAATAGACTGGATATCTGATTATTGGCTTCTTTGCAGTGATTTGATCCAATTTCAGCAATGTAAACTTTTATCTACTGAGGACTTAAATGGAATTAAAAAGCATTGATTTGATCTTTAAAACTAGAACCTGGTTATTTGCCAATTTATAAATAATGGCATTTGTAATATATAATAAATAAAATATTTTTAAAAATGATGAAGAGATCAAAGAAACACCCTTCAACCTTCTTGTTGAATAGTTTGTCCACCAGAGGGCGGAGTTGTCTGAGCAGAGCATAAACAAGCAGAAAAATGACTACACATGTCACACATAAATATCAGCTGATATATCGGAATGTTGGATTCTTAAATCAGTAAATAGTACTGTCGATGTTGATGCTATACTAGTCTCTGAGCGAGTCGGCTTGCTCGAAATGTTACTTTACATTAATATACTGCCAGTAAAACAAACCTTTCTAGGCTCTGTAAGGGTTACAATATATAAGGTTAAGGTTAGGTTATAGGTTATATTCTATAACGGGAATGGTAAAGCAGTTCAGTTCAATAGTTTAAAGATGTCTTTTTAGTAATCGAGCTCTATGAGGGGGGGAAAATGCTTCGGGGTGTTGCGTTGACTGTTTTGTTGCAGTACTGCGAGTGACCACTAGAAGAGCACAATAGCAAGGGCGAGAGGTGGTGCTGCAAGAGCTGGAAATGGCACCTTAACAGTGCAAGTATTTGGCAAGCTAGCCACAAAAAGCATAAAAACCGCTGTACTGCTGGAGGATCTTTTGTTAGCAGGGTGGCTGAAGAGGAAGAGAGGGTTTATTACCTAATGTGTTTTTGCAAAATGCTGCAAGAACTGGCCGCAGCTAACAGAAGACTTTTTTTTTTTTTTTTAAATGTAAAATTGAATTCTGCTTTTTTTGTTTGTTTGTTTTCTTTTAAATGACCGCTTACTCTTTCCAAGAGTGCAGATTTGGAAGAACAAAAGGTTGACATTAGTGGCGGTTAAATAAATTAAGTGTACGAAGTAAGACTGTAATAATGAAGATACTCAAAATAAATATTTAATTGTGTCGTCAGGAATTAAGAGGCAGATGGAGAGTACTTATGCTGTAACCAGATGGACAAAGATGAGAAGAGGGAGGGCTATGATTAGGTTTAACTAGTGCTATGAAGAGGGATGAGTCTGCAGCTTTGATAATTACTCCTGTAGGATCAAAGGGAATGACCTGAAATGCAGCTGCATGGAAATGTGCGATCAAACGTGAAGGATGCTCTGCTTAGTTTCTCTAACTCTTAAATCTGAGCACGCAGGAATGAATAAAAATCTGCGTTTTTAGTTTTGAGAGCCTAAATGTTTATATTGTAATCCTTCCTTTTTGTGTCTTCGCAGGTTATTGTGATGGCGTGTCGAGAGTTTGAGATGGGAAGAGTAAGTGTGCACATTTTTGCACATGTAAAATCACAAACGCTTTTCTTTTTTTCTAATAAAAAAATGTTTGTGGAAAGAGACGATGTGAATTCACACTGATCACTTATTTCGAGCTCTATATTGCTTGCACGTATGGCTATAGTAAGCACATAATTAGTCACTTATATCTGTCACCATCTATGTTCTACATGTCACATTAATTGTTTATTTTGAATCTGAAAGTGTGTGTTCACAGGAAGCTGTGGTGTCTGTCTCCTATTTTGTTCTCAGCCAAAGCTAACTTTTCTTCTCTGGTTAGAAAAAGTGTGAGCGGTATTTCCCGATGCAGGGGGAGCAGCCTATGAGCTTTGGCCCTTTCAGAATCTCCTATGTAAGTAGACAAATCTGTGATGATACAGCTCTGTCTGTGTGTGTGTGAGACGAGTGTCTAAAAACAAAAAGAAGGCACGTAGCAGGTCTGGGTTTTGGGACTGCCTCTTTTCTCACATGTTTTTGTTTTCTAGGAATCGGAGCAGGCCAGAACAGACTACTTCATCAGGACTTTGACAGCACAGTATGAAAATGTAAGTGCTTTCTCTCGAGGCCTCTTCATTAATACCTAATGTAGTTTGTCAAGAAACCAGTCTAAAGTAAGTGTTAACTTTCAGATAACGCTACATCACAATAGCGACAGGATTGCCTACAAATAAACTTCATATCCACATGTTTTCCAACAAATAACAGCTGTATATAAGTCAACTTAGGCTTGCTTTTTGCAGCCATAAACCCAAAGTCGCCCTTCAACAGCTTGCATGCATCTAAACGCCAACCTTTAAATTTGAGTTTGAGAAAAAAGGAGCCATTTGACCAGGAGCCAAATGTTACACGCAGGACGATTGGTGCATTAAAAAATTCCCGTTTGTGCTGAATGACCACAAACATCCTTCAGATGTCTCAGGCTGTTGCAGTACAATATCCTGACAGGTCTGCATAGACAGTCACAGTCACGCTGCATTCTTGTTTTTTTTTCTATTTGTTTGTTTAGGGTTTTTTTTTGTGTGTGTGTGTGTGTGTGAGGGTTTGTTTGTTTTTGTTTTTTAAAAAACATCCAAACAAAAATAAAACAGCTGGTCATGCTCCAGATCTGATGCACCGTCTTCAGGCTTGAATACTGCAGACTACAGATGCATCTGGAGAGAGCTGTTTGGGTTAGTTTGAAAAACCGTTTCCTTTGTGGACACGTTGGAGGTCCATGGGGTGGGATTA